AAGAGAATAATGAAGGCATTGGTCTGTATTTTAAAATGCATACCAATGCACCACAAACAGCAACAATAGCAAAAAATCCAGAACATTTACCATCTTGATACCCTCACTAAAGAAACTGCTAAAAGATGAACTTAGGGAAAATGGAAAATATCCTGAAGGAAATTTCTACAAGGCAAAAAGAAAAGGTGAACCAAGATATTGTAAACAGTCATCAGGAACATTGTATAAAAGAGCAAAAACAGCAGTAATGAGAATATTAATGCTAATGAATTTGGGGAAATAATACAAGAGAACTGACATATTGGGAACAAGAACATCTAAGATGGGAGTAGAAGTTTGGAAGTTAACGCTTTCTGTGATTCCATATTGGGAGGGTAGATTTGCTAAATGATTTTGGTTTTTAAATGTTATGTATGTTAAAAATTTCTGCTAAATTAGTAGAAATAAATTGTAAAACTTTCTAAATAGTAGGTGGAAAATGAAATCAAAGAATCATGGTCAAGCCACAAGAAGTCTAGAAGTGAGGGTGGAGAAGCATAGAAAATACAGAAACTATAGAAAGCCAAAATAAGATAGCAGAAATAATCCACATATATATCTGCTGTCAGATTATATGTAATTAGACTTGGACTTGTCAGCAAGACGTTCCAGGAATTATCAGACTAGCCTGAAGTCCATGTACAGTTTGAAGAAGAAACCCATGAAATACAAGAACATAGGATGAAGATAAAAGGAGAGAAAAAAGGTCAAATCACAAAACCCTCACCAAAGGAAAGCTACACCATGCAACACTAACCAACATGAAAATAATAATATTAACATCACTTAAAAGAACAGAATGCTGTTCTCTTCTTTATTTTACCAGAAGAACTTTCAAACTCTAACTGGCCACCCAGCTAACCACATTTTCTAGTCTCTCTTGAAGAAGATTGTAGCCATGTGTTCAAATTAAGGCAAAACTGCTTGTTTTTGCCTTCCATTTGGCTGGAAAAGGCATCTGCAGCAGGAGACTTGTCACCTCTGTTGTCTGGCAAGAGCAGTTAATCCCAGAACAGAGCTGTTTCTCCAGCCTGAAGCTGTACATTTATCTTTGAAATCTTATATGCAAGAGAAATAAACTTTTTAAGCTACTGTATACTGGATGTCTCTATTCTAGCATCTTAGCAGGTACCTTGAGTATATCTCATGTGTTTTAGGGTAAAAAGAATGATTTTATGGTCACTCCATCAAAAACATAAATTCTGGAGGCTCCTGCTGGCTCAGTCGGTAGAGCACGGGACCTCAAGGTCATGAGTTCAAGGCCTACCTACACTGGGCATGGAGCTTACTTTAAAATAAATAAATAAATTTTAAAAAACAGATGCAAAAAAAAAAATAAAAAAAAGAAATAAAAAACAGATGCATAAATTCTGGGTTTGTGTGAACCACATAATATGACTTCAAAATAAGTGAAATAAAAATTTATAATTATAAGGACTGTGCTCTTGTACACCAAGACATTAATATGAAAAAGTAAATTCTAATACTCTTAGAAGATTTTAGAAATATTTTTGTGACAGGTAGAAAAGAATTTCTTACACAAGGCAGAAGAAACCTGAAAGGAAAACATGGATAATTTTTACTATGTTAGAATACATTAATTTCATGAATAAAAACTTATTATCGAAACATGTTATTCAAAATGAATTTTAAAACCCACAGGCTTAGAATCCTCAGGGACAGCAGCATCTATGTGCCAAGTCAGAACTAAAACCACCGTCACAGATTTCACCCCACTGACTGTTTACAAGACCCCTGGTGGGTGTAGTTTAAAAAATTTTAAGAACCAAGAATTCGCTCAGCTATTGACACAGTCTGTGAGCCATGGGTTTGAGGCAGTCGGTGAGCTCACTCACATCTGCATGAGCTTTGCGGTCCTGGAGCAGGATGTTCCTAGCACCCTCTGCTGGGCTGAGGTCCCCCTGCAGCCCCCCTCGGGTGGCTGGAGAAAGTTCCTAGACAGGTTCACCTCGCAATTCTCAGGCTTCTGCCTCTTGAGAACTATTGGGTCTTGCGTGCACTTGAATCACACGTGATCGAGAACTGACGAAAGAGAATACTTCACTTCTGTGACCAAGTGTTGGAATCAGAAATTAAAACAACAACAACAACACCTTGGTAATATTGTGGGTACCAAGAACCTGTATAGTTCATACATTTTAACATCCTGTTGTAAAATCTGCTAAAAGGCATACTTTCAGCAGGACTTTGTGGATAGTTGAAGAGGGGATGGCCAAGCCAGGGACAAATTATGTATCTGGAAAACGTTCCTTAGAGATTTTGTGTTAGGCACTTTCAGGTCATCATCTGGCAGGAGTTTATTTAGCACTGGCAGCCTTTCTGATGTGTGCTTTTATCAGGTTTAGAACCTGTGTTAAGGGTTTTAGTAATATTTTAAAACTCTTTGTTTAATAATGGTTTTTGTTTTTTTAAGTGAAGGTTAATCTTACAAAAAAAAAATGAACAAACAAACCCACAGGCTGAAAGAAGATAGAAACAGTATAGAAAACTTCCTGGAATACTATGCAAATTATATAAATATCATCTGTGAGTCCGTAAGCTAAAGATAGCCCCAAAACCAAGGGATAATAAAATGAACAAGTGATTAATAGAGAAAAGAAAACCAGTAGCCAACTAGCCTTTGAAAAGATGTTCAGTTTTGCTAGAAATCATGTTAAAACCACAGTGAAATACCCTTCACACCCATAAAATTGTCAAGCATGAAAACAATACTCAGTGTTGAAGTGTTGATGTGGATGGAACATTGGAAGCTCTGGTATGAAGATGGTGGGGATGTGTAAATTGAGCATTTATGAAAGCTGGAGGTATGTCTACAATACAACCTAGCAATTCTGTTCCTAGGAATATGTTTGAGAAAATTCCTGCCTGTGTACGTACGAAACACAAAGGAGTGTTCAAAGCATTGTTATAATAGCCAAAAATTAAGGGGGGCAAAAAACGCCACAACCAAACCTTTGTGCATTAACGGGGAGAATAAGTAAACTGGTACTTTCATATAACAGAAGATAGTTGTGAAAATGAGCTAGATCTCCATATAACGAGTGTGCAAGAGTCTCCTACAGAGTGTTAAGCAATCAAAAAAGGGCAAGTCACAGAAGTATAGTTCAGCACCCACACATACAAAGTTTTAACACATGCAAAACAGCACGACATAGCTCATGCAGATGCCATGCGTGTACTAAATGCATATGAGATTTTTAAATCTATGCAGTAGGTGCCTGTTGCTCATTACTTTATCCCCATGATAATATGACACTGGAGTTATAGGGTAGCAGTAGGGTCTTTCTTTTCTGGGAAGACCTCCTAGAGGTAGTGATTGTGTAGGTGGGATGATGGGAAATGAGCATGGCTTTTCTAAAGATAAATCACGCACTGAAATTAATGTACTAAATAATAAATAAATGTACTTTGGCTCACAGAAAAGCTGCTCCAGTATTCACTGAAGACCTTTTGATTTCCTTAACACACAATCTGATAAACTGAGCTGGTTTACAATCCTTGGCAGATTAGACTGCCAGAGGCAGATACACAGGTAAATGGGACACGACAGCCGGCTGTGAGGCATAAAGGCAGGGAAAACCCCCAAATCCCTGTGTAAGAATTAAAACTAAAAGTAGTCTAAAGGCTAACTATAAAGGCAGTGAATCTTACATGTCCTGGTAACTCCAGGTAGCAAGCTGTATGCGATGGTGATGACGATGACCCCAGGTGGCCCAGATGTTTGTTTCAGTTCAGGAATTTAGGAATGTTGATGATATATATTTGAAACATTATTCATTAATTTTTTTAAAAAAAGGTTTAGAACTTAAAGGAAGCTATTTTTCTGTTATGCAAAATTAACCTCTTTGGAATAGCACATCTTTAAAGTATGCCTAGTAAGTAATACATTTATTTATTCTATTTATGCAGCGTACCTTCCTTGAGCCGTTACTCTGTGCGAGGCATGATGTTGACACTGGCCATGCAAAAGCAGATCAGATACTTGATTATTTGATTCACTAATACAGTGCCTCCTACATGATGTGTGTTAATATATTTATGCTTAGGAAGAAAAGAAAGTGCTAATTTGGTGGTGTGATTCTCTGCTATACTTGTACCATTTTGAAAATTACAAAAATTAAAAGTGTAAATAACTCGAAAGTGTTGGATTTAAAATTTCAGTTGAGAAGTGTGGCAACAGTATAGGCTTTTATGAATTTCCCATAGGCTTCTTGCAGTATGTATTAAAAGATTTTAAAAAGTTTAATCTCATTGATTTTGTAATCCTAATCTTGAAATTTGGAGAAAACCAAGAAAACTAAACAGAATGCTTTTTAAAATGATGTTTACCTGGCATTATTTACAGTAATGAAAATTCTAAGTGTTCAGTAGTAGGGGATTTGTTAAATCAGGTTATATTCATCCATTGGAATTCCAATTTGACAATATTCAATGACATAGGAAAATGCATATACTAAGTTAGTAAATTAAAAAAAAACTAGCTGGAGAAAAATATGCTGAAATACTAAGTGCCTATGTAGTGGGTTTATAGGTAATTTTCCTGTCCCTTTTTATTATTTACTCTACTTTTCAAATTTTCTGCAGTAAATGTTATAACTGCAAAAAATGAAGCGCTATTTCTAAGATAGCACATATTTTCCTTCTCAGAATACATTTTTTGAAATGGGTTTTTATCTTTGGATATCGTTATTGATCGCAGCTGTTCTTTTGTGGATACGGTCAATAACTAAGGCTTGAACTTTGTGTAAAGCCACTGTAATATAATTTATCATTCATCATTATATTAACTTCTTAAAAAGGACGTTTTTATGCATGTTCTTCTCTCTCAAAGAAATAAATGGAAGTACATGTATTACTAAAGCCATAGAAAAGTAGTCACAGAGATGAAATGGAGAAACCGCATGTCAGTAATGTTCTCTTCTGCTGTCATGAATTTGCAGTTCCTCAGTGGGTAGCGCACTCCCACGAAGACGCTGCTGTGCATATATTACCATTGGAATGATATGTATTTTCATTGGAGTTGGATTAACTGTGAGTATTACTCTACTCACTGTTAGAATTCTATCTTCTTAACTTTACCAGTAGTAATCGATGAGGCCTGGGACAGCCTTCAGTGATCCCCAAAGAGCCTGCCTCCCTGGCATACCAGTCCCAGAAACTTCTGAAGGACTGTGGGCAATCTGAAGCCCAGTCAATCTATGGACCTGTTTGGAATGGAGCTTGCCCATCTGGTGAAATGGTGTTTGGGGACTCCTCTGAAGGTCCCTGACATTGGGGACTTCACCATCCATTAAGCAAAAGCCCACTGTTTTTATTTAGTCCCATACCAAAGCAAAAGCACTACTCAATCAGCTATGGAGGTCTGAAAACCATTTTTATTTAAATTAAGCACAGATTTATTATCATTATGCGTATGGCTTATTTTTAGAGGAGACTGAAGCTAAGTAGTTGGCGTGGGGATTATTCTCCCCCAGGAGAAGGAAGGAGTTACTGATCTTTTTTGCTATTATTTACCTCCCGTTCTCCTTTGTCCTACCTGGTCCCATATTATCAGAGACACTCCTCTTGTGTCATACAACACTAAGGAGTTTCGATGACAGATTTACTTACTTTTAGAAACACCATTCAAGTGGGCTTTTTTTTTTTTTTTGCATAAAATTCATAGTTAATATAACCGGCAGTATTGTCTTACTAAATTTGACTCTGTCAGTGATAGTCCACTAATGTATCAACTCATATTTCATAGGGATATTGTGGCCTTAGGGATGTATTTCCTAAAAATCACATATAAGCCAACACAAGCTCTTTAAATAAACCTTTGGTTAAAGTTTTTAATCTTTTGTTATTATATTGCTTTTTATTTTAGGTTGGCACCCAAGATTTTGCAAGGCGATTTCATGCAACCTATGTTTCTTGGGCAATTGCTTATCTGTTAGGTTTAATTTGCCTTATCCGAGCTTGCTATTGGGGAGCCATACGAGTGAGTTACCCAGAACATAGTTTTGCATAAGCTTGCTTGTAATTTGGTGATGCAGGTGAGAGTATCTGGCAGTTCTTGATAAGCTACTCTGGGCATCTTTGAGTCATTCATCCTAATGGATTCCATTCTGGTTTCTGTATAAAGTTCCAAGACTTTGGGAATGTTTTATGAACAAATGCTCATTGCACTACATTATATGCAAACAGTTTGTTTTGCTGCTAGGTTTTCAAAGCTCCAAATAATAAAACTGTGTCTTCATGTTCTTTTACATCTCTTAAAGATATTTTGGATTTGCCAAACACTACATGTAACATCACCTTTCCATTATTATTTTTAAATCAGTTCCATTACTTGTTGATCTGTGAGTATTCCCAAGGAGTATTTATAAATATTTCTACAATAGCTTCACATTTATACTCACATTTTAGTTAAACAGTATCAAAATTGCTCGCTTTAAAATCTAAGCAATATGCATTTTGCTTGAACTGCTTACTGTAACTTTAACCTAAGATCATAGTGACCTTATTCAGGAAAAAAAAAATTGAGTGTACCTTCAAAGACTTGACATTCTTGTCAGATAAAAACCATTTCTAGATACTGTATGCTTGTTTTTTGTTGTTTGTAGAAAGATACAATATTTTGGTAGTAATTTAAAATACAAGAATGAAAATATTTATTTGTCCACAGTTGGAAATAATGTTGGATAAATGTTGGATAAATGTTTTTTTCTCAAAGATCACAGGACTTTTGTCTTTCATTTTTGTCTGCTTTTTTATTTACTAATAATAGAAGTTCTGGTCTAGATTTATGAAATTTAATGTTAATCAGCTGTATGTATTCCTTTATAGATGTTGGAGGAAGTATTTCACATAACATGTTTTATAATAACCATTTGAACAAAGATATATTTACCTTAAGTTGCCCCCCTTTACATTGGATCATGGTGAATTTTCCTTACTGGGCTAATTATGGACTACTTATATGAGAAGAGAGCCTGTGACATTTTACACTAGCTAAAGTGTTGAGATTAGATTAGATTATCATTCTTCTCAAATATAGCTGGTCTGAGTTACCCAACTTATTCAAGAAAGTAGATCACAGACAAAAAAACAACATAGTTTTCTAAGAATTCACTAAGATTTAAGGAATCAGCTCTCGCACTGCCCATCTTTGCAGTTTTGGAAAAGAAATTGCTTAATTGAGAAATAATGTTCTAAAGCCTTTAATATAGTAGAATTAAGATAAGGGGATAATATGAGTAAATTAATTGGCTATTCCAGAGATAAGAATAATAATTTAAATATTTATGTTCCTGACTAGTGTAAAAATGTACTCATCAGAGAATTTGGAGCAAAATATGTGTAAACTTTAAAGAGTAAATGATAAATGTTTAAATGCAGTAGCTCAGGATTATATGTACCTTTGAAAATACACTAATAAAGATTATTGTTCAAAAATTACCTTGTTATATTTCCATTTTTTAAAAATAAAATGTTGTTTCCAAAATTACCTTGAGTTATTACTCTAAAGGAGTTTTCGTGTTTAAGAACATGTGTAATATTTCTTTATATAATATTCACTTATTTTTTTCTAGTATTTTCATGGTTTCATTTTAGAAATACAGATTTCAAATCCATTAGTAATACATTTGATGTAAGGTATGAAATAAGAATCTAATTTATTTCTTAATGGCTAACTAATTGTAACAGCAAACCCACATTAAATTATATGCTGCATGATCTTTTTCCTTTTGGACTATAATTCCATGATAGTAGGAACTTTGGTGGCCTTGCTCACTGCTTTACCTTCAGCATTTAGAACAGCACCTAGTGCATTTGTGTTCAGTAGATATTTGTTGCATGAATGAATAAATGATTGGATGAATTGGTATGTTAAAATTTTATTCCTTGGGTTTAGTCTTTATATTTTGTTACAGAATATATAAGTGAATATCCATATAATCTTGTGTTAAAGAAAAACTTTCTAAGTAAAACCTCAAAACAAATCACATAAAAGGACTGATAGATTGTATGATAAAAAGAAAAAAAGAACTGTGTGAAAAAATCATAACGAAAGCCGAAAAATTAACTATATTTCCACAATAGTAGAAAGAGTTAATCTTTTTAATACAGGAAAGAACTAAAGGTACAAAAAAGCAATTCATAAAAGAAGAAATGCTATAAGTAATAAACATGAACTTCTTTTCAGTTTACTAATAATCAAAGAATGTAAGTTAAAACACAGAGATTCTATTTTTTACCTACTATATTAACAAAGAATGAAAAAGAGCGATTAATCCCCGAAATGCTGATGATCCGAGAAAGTACACACACACACACACACACACACACACACACACACACACACACACACAGTCTTTGACATCGTAATTCTGTCTCTAGGAATTTATCCTAAAGATGTTCTGGATAAAAGAACAAATATATTTGTATAATAATACTTATCACATTTTTGTTTACAATAGAGATTAAAAGTAAGAAGTCTAAAAATTCAACTAAGTTATAGGTGAAATAGATCATGGTACTTATATTGTGAAATAACAGGTAGTCATTAACAAGATGATGAAATTTCTTATTTAATTGAATTGGAAATGGTTCACAAAATAAGGTGTGACAAAATCAGATTACAAATCAATATGCACAGTGTAATCTACTTTTTGAAGAAAATGATTTTATGTGTATGTGTTCAAAAAACTAAGGCAAATTAAGCACTAAAACATTAAGAGGGGTTACCTTTGGGTGATAAAAGATAATAGTTAACAGATCCTATACCGAAGCTTAGTCTTATATCAATTAATATAAATTTTTACATCCAAATTTATGAGACTTTATACCCAGTTTTATTTAAAATAAAGCATTCCTTCCAATGCCTAGTACAGATAAACACAGAAAGTGCTGGGAAAATGTTGTTTGAAATACACCACAGTCACTAATCAGGAAAGGAAGGATATTTTTGTACCTGCTGTACAAAGTAGTAAAAAATGGCCTAGTTCTTAGAAAAAAGGGAAAAAATGGAACCACACTCAGTTATTTTTGAGCACGTCATTTTGAAGACTACATATGTCATTTAGAAGATCCTAATGACGTGTGTAAGGTACAGTGCTGGCCTCACAGCACGTGCAGTTAAATAGCCTCAGGAAGCCTAGAAGGCGCATATGCTTGTTCCTGTTTTATCAGAAGAAATTGAAGTATCACTCTTACAGATCTGAAAATGTGGGTTTTAAGTGGGGTAGGCAACTGCATTCAAAACGAGAACTTCTGGATGATTTTGATGTAGGTTTTCCTGAATCATCCTCCTGAGAAACACTGCACTATACCATGCACACACACGTTTGCATCCACTTTCTCTGGCATTCGGATTTTCTTAAATAGAAAAGACTTTGATTGTATTTGAGTAAATAATGCCATCGATTATCCTTCGATTATCTTTTTTTAAGCTCTTATTTATTTATTCATGAGAGATGCACAGAGAGAGGCAAAGACACAGGTAGAGGGAGAAGCAGGCTCCTCCCTGCGGGAAACCCGAACTCATCCCAGGACCCCAGGATCACGCCCTGAGCCAAAGGCAGATGCTCAACCGCTGAGCCACCCAGACGTCCCACCTTTGCTTATCTTTTGTTTTTAGTTTTGATCTAGCTATGCTTGTGCTTGTATGTTATGAAACTACAGCCATTTCTATGTGCTGGAAATTGCTATAAATTACAAATTACAATTGCTAATTGTACAATTAGCTATAAATTACAATTACAAATTGCTATAAAATCTAAATCTGCACTTATTTGGATGTGTTTGAGTATTGTGTATGTATATATAGGCACCGAAGGAAAAAAAAACCCTAGTGCTTATTGATTTGCCTTAATATTAAATCTATGTCATAGTCATCATGACTCTACCACTGAAGAAGCTCAGAGAGGCTAAATAATTAAAAGTCATTCAGCTTATATGTGATGGAGACTGTTGGAAGCAAACAATCTTCCTTCAAAATTTATCTGCTTTTCACTACAGCAGGAGATTTTTATTGTGCTTTGCTTTGTAGAGAAAAACTTGAATTTTGTGCCCCCTGCTGTTCATTGTCTATAACTGATTTGTGGAAAGAAAATTGAAAACTGCCCTCAGTATTCATTTCACAAATGGAATACTTCTGTTTAAAAAAATATTTTTATGAATTTGATATTATATCCAGCTTTCTGTTAGAGGATTTTATGTAACAAAATATTATTACACATATTTATTTTTTATAATTAGCATAAAATCATAAGAAGAGTGCCTAGGAATATGACATATTAAATATGAGGAAATTGACATACAATGAATTTTAATGTAACTTATTTTTCTTATAATAGCAATATTGAAATGATTGGTAAATAGCTCAAAATGCTAAAAAGGATCTGTAAAGGTTTTTAATTTTTAAAATCATTTTATATGCTCAGTTACAAATAAGATTGTTATGTTTGGATAAATATACATATATTTGACTTGAGGGGGAACATTATGTGAAAAGCAGAAAAGCCTATGCGTTTTGGGGACTGGCCCACAGACTTAAGTATCAGAGAAGGTTACAGTTCTATAAAGTAAATATGGTTTGTAATTTGACAGGTGAGAAGCTTCGATCTACCAGAAATCAAAGATTTTCAGTTTTGTCAGTGTACCTAAGCTCATTTAAGGTAACTTGCTAAATAGGAATTGATCACACACTTTCCTCTCAACAAATTTTTAAATTTACCTTGAGTGGTTTATGCATGTGTAGGTATTACTGGTTGGTTGTAGAGCTACTGAAAGTTTCCGGTGCTCAAATTGATTTTTTCTGAAAAACCTTGCTGCAGTGTCTGTTATTTCTACATTAGATAGATCTTTGGCTTAAGATATTGGACATTTAAATTTTACATTTTCATTAGTTTTTAAGCTTTTAGCAAGAGCAAGCTTAGGATATTTGTAGAGAATTCCTTAGCTTATGCAAGCCTTCATTTTTTTCCTTTTCCTTCTTGAATACCTGCCTTATTCTTTCTTTTAAAAGTTCCTGTCTGCCTACCATCTGCCACTTACAAATATCCGTTCACTCCCCCCTAATCAATGCAGACTTCAGTACCTGGTTTTCATTCTTACCATATGCTATTGATTTAAATGTCGACATGAATGGTCTGGGCTCAGTTCTGATTCCCTCAAATCTAATGACCTTCCATCCCACTTCTGCTATTCATCTCTAGGTGTACAGGGGGTACTCGTACTTGGAAGCACTCCATCTCTCAACTCTTACGCTCAGATAGTCACTCTCTGGACCTGTACTTCCTCTATCCTTACAAAATCCTCACTCTGTTTTTTTTTTTTTTTTTTAAGATTTTATTTATTCATGAGAGACGCACAGAGAGAAGCAGGTTCCCTGCGGGGAGCCTGATGTGGGACTGGGTCCCAGGACTCCGGGATCACACCCAGAGCCAAAGGCAGATGCTCAACCACTGAGCCACCCAGGTGCCCCTTCTCACTCTCTGTACTGTTTCATGAATACCACCTTCAGCACTTAGAGTTTCTTAATTCTTTTCCAGTCTATTGGAAAGATTTCCAGTAAATCCCACAACCACACAAATACCACTAGATTTTTAATTTTCTTTTTTTAAAGATATTATTTGATAAAGACAAAGAGAGAGAGAGAGAGAGAGAGAGCACGTGTGGGGAGTGCCAGGCAGAGGGAGAAGCAGACTCCCCCTGTGCGGGCTCCATACCAGGACCCTGAGATCATGACCTGAGCCAAAGGCAGATGCTTAACTGAGTCACCCGGACACCCAGATTTTTAATTTTTACCTTCAGCTGCTCCTCAGGATTGTTTCCCTGTCTCCAGCAGTTCCTGCAAATTTCCCACAGTTGCTATTTGAAAACTTCAAAGTCCTAACGCCCCTTATCACACTTTCCACAGTAGACCCCCTTCCTCTCATGGCAGATGATTGATTTCACCTATTCTCACCTTTGTCCCTTCCCTCCACCTACACTAGACCCACCCCATTCCCCCATTCCTCAGGGAACTCCCAGTATCTTCTCATTATTCTATCCGTCCGGCTGCCCCGTTGTGGGCATCTACCTGGCATCACCATTTTCTCTTCTCATTATCACACCCTTTAGGGCTCATCAGGTCTCTATCCTCTCAAGGACACGCACTTCTCTTTCTTCATGTCTAGAGACCCACCTCACTTGTCCTCATCAACACTGCCTGGGTTACCCTAGGAGTCTGGACGGATCCCCCTGCGGCTGTTCTTGCCTTGCCCGCCTCCCGTCCCTCTCCTCAGCCCATTTTAAACAGGTGATTCCTTTTCCAAATGTGCATATGACCCTTTCATATCTGAAGTCCTTCAGTGTCTCTCCCCCTAGGAGTTAAGACTCTTTATGCTCCTGTAGCCTCATACTGAGCCACTTGCTCAAGCAGTGCCCGTATTTTGTGTTCCTGCAGTATTGAATCACCAGTACTTTTCGTATTCACTGTGGTTTCAGTTCTGTATGTTTTTGGTCACGTGCTTCTCCCTGCAAGGAATATCCCTAAGTTAGTAAACTCCTTTTCAATCCTTGAAAATCCTCCTCTAGGAACCCTTCCGTGATCCCTCCTCTTTCTGTCAAGCCCAGATAGAATTCTTTCTTTCCCTGTACTACTTCTACTCTAAGTGTATATTTCTAACTACTACATAGACTATCCTCTATTTTATTCATTTATAGCTACTTTTTAAAAAAATGATTTGAGAGAATGTGAGCAAGAGGAGGCGCAGAGGGAGAGAATCTTAAGCAGGCTCCCCACAGAGCATGAAGTTCCACACGTGGCTTGATCTCACAACCCTGAGATCATGACCTGAGCTGAAATTAAGAGTGGGACACCTCACCGGCTGAGCCACCCCGGCGCCCCCAGGTCATTGGTACTCCTAAGACTATCATTGTCTCCTTGCTGATTGTTCCTCATACTGTCCTATTCCGGTTTGTCTGTATCCTCAGTGCCTGGCACCTAATAGGCAGAAGCCTTCAAAACTTTTTTTTGCTGAGCTGAGCTGAATCAAACCAAGTCTCTATCATGGGTTGTTAGTGCATTGCGGTGATGACTGTGTGCACGTGTCCTCCATAAAGCGCTTTGTAAATGTTTGTGCAATAAGTGAGTGAGAGGCAGACTAGGGGCAGGAGGTTGGTACAGACGCTGATGCCGCCCCCTGCCTCTCAGTTTTTCCCAACGCCCCAGGCTTTCAGTAGCACCCCCAGGTGCACACACGCCCTGGGAGTGCCTTCAGCACCACAGTTAGCTTACTGAATCGGACTGGTCTGCTGGTGAGCCCGCACCCTCACTAGACAGCACGTTTCACCAGAGCATGTAACCGGTTTGTGTTACCTGTGCCCCCACAGGGTTTTATTTTTGTTTTTATTTTTTTAATTTTTATTTTTTTTCCGATAGGGTTTTATTAACGGAAAGGAAGGTACTGCGAAGGTCAAGTCAAATAAGCTAGGAAAGCATAGTGGTAACAAAAACCTCTGCTGACAATTAGACACATTTGACTGTAATTATTATCCTTTGAGTTGGGATTCCTATTTCCACTCTCGCTTTTCCTCAATCCATTTTCCAAACCATTAAACAACAACAACAACAACAACAAATACCTATGGCATCCAGTTACAGATTTTGTTTATTTTATATTTTATTTATTCATGAGAGACAGAGAGAGAGAGAGAGAGGCAGAGACACAGGCAGAGCAGAGGGAGAAGCAGGCTCCATGCACCAGGAGCCTGACGTGGGATTCGATCCTGGGACCCCAGGATCACGCCCTGGGCCGAAGGCAGGCGCCAAACCGCTGGGCCACACAGATTTTAAAAAGCTGACAAATACCAGCTATTCAAAAAACCCATAAAAATATTTTGTCTAAGCCACCCCTAATTCCCCCTGTATTTTTACTTTTATGTATTTTAACCGCCTCTTCGTTGGGCAGTTTTGTAAATGCTTCCTTGAGGAAGAAAATTTCTGTTTTGACTAGACTGATGGTACCTGGAGCCTACACTTAACAGTTTCCACATCTGGGGCTTGGACTCTACTGTCCACGGACTTCTGGCGCTTCAGCCACAGGACGGGCCAGGTGCGGCCAGGTGAGTTCCCAGGGGAGGCAGCGGTGCTCCCGGAGCCCCACACACCCTGTCTGCTTCCGGCTTTTCCCAGGTCGCCAAACTCCGACCTTCTCCCGCCTCCTCTCGCCAGACTGATCTCCCCTCAGGGTCTGATCTTTGCCAGACTTTGTTTTTCTTGCTGCAGGGCATTAAGACCTATTCTGCTTCCCTAGACAGTCCCCCCCCCCCCCCGCTCTTGTACATGAGCTTTAAGGTGTGTTTAGATGATCCCTTTTCGGAGGGTCATTCCTTCTTTCCTCACCTCGTTCTATTCTTATTTTATTTCTAAAAATAAATTCATTCATTCATTCATTCATTCATTCATTCATTCATTCATTCATTCATTCATTCATTCATTCCTGAGACACACAGAGAGGGGCAGAGACCCAGGCAGAGCAGAGCAGAGAAGCAGGCCCCCGGGGGGAGCCCAGTGCCGGACTCGATCCCGGGACCCGGGGTCACGCCCTGGGCGGGGGCAGCCGCTCCTCCGGGCCGCCCTGGTCTTTGAGGCCTCGGACCCCCCCCCCCCCCCCGGGTCCATCCTGTCCGCCCGCGCCTGGGACGTGTCCGCGGGGCCCTCCCCGCCCGCCGCGCCGAGCGTCCGATGCAGCCTCGCGAAGGCCCCCGGGCGCCGCCCCTCGCGCCCCGCCTCCCCGGGCCGCCGGGCCCGCGCCGGGAGCCGCTCCGGCTCGTCTCGGTCCTCGGGTCGCCCCCGAACGCGAGCGCCCAGCCGAGGGCTCCTCAGCCCCGCTGAACGCGCTCAGCTGCCCGGCCGGGCTCTCACGCGCGGGGCCTCGCTCACAGTCGCCGCCCGGGGCCCGCCGCCCGCCTCCTCCGCCCGCCGCGCGGCCGCCAGCGCCCCGCGCCCCCCGGCGCGCCCAGGACGCCCCGCGAGGTGCAGGAGCCGCGGGCTTAACGGTCGTGGCTCCGCCGCTCCGCCGCCGCCGCGCTCCGCCCGGCCCCGCCCCCGGCCCGGCCCCGCCCCGCCCCACCTCGTGCCCGGCCCCGCCCCGCGCCCGCCCCCGGCCTCGAGCAGACGCGCGGCTGGAGCCGTTCCCCGACGGGCGGCGGGGCGCTGGGTCGCCGCGTTTGGGTTGGGCGCGGCGACGCTCTGCCCCGCAATCCTCCCCGATCTGGAGGCGGTAGGTGGGCGCGGGCGACGAGCCGAACGGGCGGGCGGACGGGCGCAGAGGGGGCCCGGCTGTGGGGCGGCGGACGCCTGGAAAGTTGTGAGGGAGGAGACCCCGGCGTCCGGCGGGCCGGCCCTCGGCAGGTGGGAGCGAGGGGGGAGCGAGGGGCGGCGCCTGGTGTGGAGACGGCAGCTGGGGCTAGTGGAGGATGGAGACCCAGCCTGTGAGGGAGGGTCACCCCGTGGGGGAGGGTCAGCCCGTGAGGGAGGGTCAGCCCGTGGGGGAGGGTCACCCCGTGGGGGAGGGTCAGCCCGTGAGGGAGGGTCACCCTGTGAGGGAGGGTCACCCTGTGAGGGAGGGTCAGCCCGTGGGGGAGGGTCACCCTGTGAGGGAGGGTCACCCTGTGAGGGAGGGTCAGCCCGTGGGGGAGGGTCACCCTGTGAGGGAGGGTCACCCTGTGAGGGAGGGTCAGCCCGTGGGGGAGGGTCACCCTGTGAGGGAGGGTCACCCTGTGAGGGAGGGTCAGCCCGTGGGGGAGGGTCACCCTGTGAGGGAGGGTCAGCCCGTGGGAGAGGGTCACCCTGTGAGGGAGGGTCACCCTGTGAGGGAGGGTCAGCCCGTGGGGGAGGGTCAGCCCGTGAGGGAGGGTCACCCTGTGAGGGTCAGCCCGTGGGGGAGGGTCACCCTGTGAGGGAGGGTCACCCTGTGAGGGAGGGTCAGCCCGTGGAGGAGGGTCACCCTGTGAGGGAGGGTCACCCCGTGGGGGAGGGTCAGCCCGTGAGGGAGGGTCAGCCCGTGGGGGAGGGTCACCCTGTGGGGGAGGGTCACCCCGTGGGGGAGGGTCAGCCCGTGGGGGAGGGTCACCCTGTGAGGGAAGGTCAGCCCGTGGAGGAGGGTCACCCTGTGAGGGAGGGTCAGCCCGTGGAGGAGGGTCACCCTGTGAGGGAGGGTCAGCCCGTGAGGGAGGGTCAGCCCGTGGGGGAGGGTCACCCTGTGAGGGAGGCTCACCCTGTGAGAGAGGGTCAGCCTGTGGGGGGAGGGTCAGCCCGTGATGGAGGGTCACCCTGTGAGGGAGGGTCACCCTGTGAGAGAGGGTCAGCCCGTGGGGGGAGGGTCAGCCCGTGAGGGAGGGTCACCCTGTGGGGGAGGGTCACCCTGTGAGGGAGGGTCACCCTGTGAGGGAGGGTCAGCCCGTGGGGGAGGGTCAGCCCGTGAGGGAGGGTCACCCTGTGAGGGAGGGTCAGCCCGTGGGGGAGGGTCACCCTGTGAGGGAGGGTCAGCCCGTGAGGGAGGGTCACCCTGTGAGGGAGGGTCACCCTGTGAGGGAGGGTCAGCCCGTGAGGGAGGGTCAGCCCGTGGGGGAGGGTCAGCCCGTGAGGGAGGGTCAGCCCGTGGGGGAGGGTCAGCCCGTGGGGGAGGGTCAGCCTGTGAGAGGGAGTCAGCCTGTGGGGGAGGGTCAGCCTGTGAGGGACGGTTATCCCGCGGAGGGCAGGTTAAAACAAAAACAAACACCAGAAAAAAGTACGTAGCGCCCTGTGCCCCAGGACCTGGTCCCAGGTCGTTGGATGGTTGGAAGACCTTTTTTGCCCTGTAGCCTGGCACCATCACTACTATTTTCAGGCGACTTTTTTTCTTTGACGTTATTGTAGTTGTTTTTATTAATAAAATAACCCCCAAGTTAATAATTAGACAAAATTATACTCGAAAACGCAGCAGGAAAGAAAAAGAGTGCAAAGACATATATGGTTAACAGAAGAAAATCAAATATTTCATGAGAGTATATGAAGATATTCCACATAATTTGTAAAGATACGCTGTTAAAAAAATACTGAATTGACATATAACGGTTTCAGGTTGACAACATAATGATTCAGTATTTGTATCAAACCATTTTAATTGCTAACGATTTAAGGAAAGCCCCAGAAAAGGACAGTTACATCAGTTAGGATATCCACAGGCATCCGTGGTCTCGATGGTGTTACCCTACTTCAGTGTTAAATTTTATTCCTCTTGGAAGACACTTCACAGAGAAAAACAATTTTTTTTTTATCAGTTGTAAAGAGAAGGCATGAAATGGAAAATACGATGGCATGATCTCTCCTCTGACAACTTTTTGATAGTTTTACAATTTCCTGAATTGATTGAGCTTGATTAGAGGAACACACAATCCCTGCTATGGAGGCACCTGGGCCCTCAGAGGGCTAAGCATCGGCCTTCCCTTCGGGTCTTCTTATGGGGCCTGGAGTCAGGCGGGGAGTCGGCTTCTCCCTCTCTCTCTGCTCCCAGCCCCCCCTCATGCTCTCTCTCAAATTAAAAAAAAATCTTAAAAAAATATCGTTTATCATCTATGTTATAATTGGTTTGTCTCTTACTCCTTGTATTTCCTTTATATTACTTCTGTCAGTTTCTCAGTATGTGCTGTTTACTTTCAAGCAGCATTTGGTTTCGAGGGATCCTAACTTTGCATGATTAATATTTTGAAGTTGAAAATTGAGATTAAATCCTATCTGATTATCATATGGGAAATATACACGAGGTGGATGAAAGCTTGGTCTTTTCGCTTCTCAGATTATTCAATTGTATATGATCTCGCTTCTTTTCAATTCCAGGGTAGTTAACATGCAGTGTTGTATCAGTTTCAGGTGTATAATAATATAGTGAATGAGCAATTGCATAAAGTACTCATTGCTCATCAAGGTAAGCGTGCTCTTAACCCCCTTCACCTCTTTCCCTCACCTCCTTTACTCACCTCCCCCCTGGTATCCATCTGTTTATTGTCTATAGTTAGGAGTCTGTGTGTGTGTATGGTTTGTCTTTGTTTTTCTTTGTTCCTTTGTTTCTTAAATTTCACACATGAGTGAAATTTGTCTTTCTCTGATTAGGTTATTTCACTTAGTATTATATTCCAGATCCACCCATGTTGTTGCAAGTGGCAGGATTTCAGTCTTTTTTATGGCTGAATAATATTCCACTGTACCTCTATGTATGTGTGTGTAGGTATATCTATGTATCATGTCTTTATCCATTCATCTATATGATCTTGTTTTTTTAAAAAAATATTTATTTTAGAGAGAGAGGGAGGGAGGGAGACAGAGTACATGGGGGCAGGGGCGAGGGATAGGGAGAGAGATCTCCAGCAGACTCCCTTCTGAGTGCAGAACCTGGCAAGGCTGATCCCAGGACCCTGAGATCTGACTGGGAGCTAAAATCTAGAGCTGGATGCTTTAACCGACTGAGACACCCAGGCACCCCAATCTTATTTCTTAATTGCAGCAGAACCATCAACACTTTATAAGGAAATTTAGAATTTAAGTTGGAAATTTTAAGTATAGTATCTGGTTTCTAAATACAGTACATGGTATGTTTCTTATGTTGTGACCTATGATAAGTAAGGCACGGTGCCAGGTCTACAGAATGAAGGAAGCATAATTTATTTAGCATTCTAAGAAAAATGATAGATTGAGGGAATGGAAATTATTAGTACATAACAGTTTATTCAACAATGCCTTATATGTAAATGTCCCTTCTCATAATTCATTTAAAGAAATCCAATAAGCAATGTCCACATGGAATACTAGGGAGATGTCTTTCTTTTACTTACCAAACATGCTGGTTTAGAGACAAGAGCGTGAACTTTATAGTTAAATCTTCATTTTTACCAAATACATATTATGTGAGCTTGAGAATACCATTTTTCCGAGCATTAGGTTTCACATCTTAGAGGTAACTAAGGTATGGAACTAATAATGATTTCCTACAACAGTTAATGTATGGCTCAAAATTAAGTGAAATATCTGTAAAGAATTTAGCATGTAATAGGACCTCAGAAATGGGAGTTTGAGTTAAAAAAGAATAGTATATATTGCTCAGTAAGATTATGTCCCACATGGTCAGTATCTGTGCTTATTATCCCATTGTACTGCATTTTAGAAAATTCTAGGATAACTTATAATTTCAGAATTGGTTGGTCCTTAGCATTCATATGATTTTTTTTTAAGCAGAAAAAGAACCTAAGGTGTAGTTAAGTATTGCTAGATGTAGAATAACAACTAAAGCTTCCTGACATGTGGACCAATATTTTATTCATAGCAGTTGGCCTTTTAAGATGATTTGTTAAATATGTGTAAACTTGGAATAAAACTTTGTTCCATAGTTATTACTCAGCATATATTAATATGAAATTTTTGAGACAGTGGATCAAAATGTTTTTTAAAAACTATATGAAAAGACTGTATATTAATAGTTTAAAAGACAACTCCATGATTGGCCCCTACTTGTTATCCAGTGTTGTAAGTGGATTCTTTTTCTTTTGCAAGTGTTGTCCTTTGTAACAGTTGATACCAAAATGCCTACCCTAGGTTGTACTAGTAGCTTCAAAGGAAACTTTTGGAGCTCTATGTGGGGTGAGTGAGGTATTAAGAGTTTAAGGTTAAAATGATTTTATATAATGATTTTTTAGTTCAGTTAAGTATTATTTTTTACATAAACTGAAAATTAGGCTTTGGTTTGTGGAGTCCTGTCCTTCATAGATTATGATCCTATGGATCAGTTTTACAATAATAATTACTGTAAATACTTGGCTTTTTTTGTAAATAACACTAACATGATGCTGTTGTATACTGGTGCTTTCCACCTTAATCCCTATAATATCAGTGTCTCTGTGCAGGAATAATTCATTTAAAAAATATTAAATGGAATACTATATGGCATTATATTTTCTCATTTCCTTAATTGATGATGTGAATTTATATATCTGGAGTTCTTGCTTAGTTTTCCTACTGTAAATTGAAAGAGTGGCTGATACTAAAAGATCTTTTGTTTATGTTGTGTTGCAAAATCATATAATAGTTCTGTAACTCCCAAACTCTTGAAAATCCCTAGTTTGAATACTGTGGATTTGCCATGCTCAGCAACTGGAAAGGACTTTACAACCTCTCAACTCAATTTCAGCTGAGCAATGAAAAACAAGAAAGTATGTGCCAAAGTACTCTATTGTATTCTGATTCATTAGTTTCCTATGGGAAACAGGATGGAAAGTTCCTACATTCTAGTATTAGGGTTCTAATTATAATGTCTTTTTGGTTGTTATTTAAAATTTTTCTCTCCACATAGAAAATGTTCAATATTTGTCTGAAGTATATTTTTTTGCTTATATACTTACAACTTTTTTAAATATATATTTTTTTAAATTTATTTATTCATGAGAGATAGAGGCAGAGACACAGGCAGAGAGAGAGAGAAGCAGGCTCCATGCAGGGAACCCAACGCGGGACTCGATCCGGAGTCTCTGGGATCACGCCCTGGGCCAAAGGCAGGCGCCAAACCGCTGAGCCACCCAGGTGTCCCTACTTACAACTTTTTTGACTCTTATTATATCAAAGTTATATTGCCAACGATTACAGGCATTATTAGTTTTGTTTATAAGGTTGTTAGTAGCCATGTTGAAATACCAGTCAAGAGACACATTACTAAAACTTGATAGATATTAATTTGGAATGCTGGCTGGCTTATCTCCAAACTTTAGGAAAAAGTAAATACTTTGTGCTTAGTTATCAGCACTAACTTTGAGAGGTTGCTTATAGATTTATGATTTTTAACATTTGAATTATATCCAGAGGCATTTTTTAAATAGATGAAAGCATGTTATTAGCCCAATTATATACTTACGGAAACAGTCATTTAGGATAATGATTTGCTTAAAATCATATGCTTACTATTGTTTCTAGATGAACAAAGTCAGGTGGAATTTTAATTTAGGCTTTGTCTTAATAGGCATCATAATTTGGAAAGCTGTGTCCTATTCAGGCATCAGAAGGTTTTGGTTATACTTAGGAGGTATTTAAATTTATATATTTATGTAGTAACACTAGTTATGTTGCAGGTACTAGGATACAAAGATAAATAAGATCTAGTGTTTTAGTCCCAACTAAGTCCAATCAAACAGGCATATAATAGATTTACTCTGATACATCTTAGAATAATTAACAAATAAAATACTGTAGGAGCTAGTGGAAGAAGAAAGATAAAAAGATAAATTATTATTATTGTCAACTATCCATGAGGAACTAGAAAGCATCAGGTGAACTACTTTGCTTAACATTACTGTTGAGACATAGAGATATTTTTTCCAAAGGAATGACAGGAACTTGACCTTGGTCTTGAAGGATGAATAGCATTTTGGGAGAAGAGCAGCGGGGAGAGTGAAGGAACTGCAGGATGTATAAATATATGGTGAAACAAATAACATTTATGAATTCAACAATTTATTAAACACCCACCGTGTTCTAGGCACTGTGCGAGACGCTGGAGATATACCTGGGTGAGAGAACTGTAATTTAATATTCAAACGATAGGTAATTGCAACTAGTGCAATAAGTATCACGTTGGAAGAGGATAGATGCACGGGTGTTTTGTGAGCACATAAGAGTCCTTAACCAGAACCTGTTCAGTTCTGCTTGGGTATGAGGTGGAAAAAGATTGGGCAAGATTCTTGACTCTTGTTGGCCAGAAGCATGAACATGGGCATCCCATCACTTCCTAGACTCAGGACCTTGGACAAGATACCTAATTTCTCTAGCCTTATCTGTAAAATTAGGATTATAAAAAATGATGAAGCTAACATTTATTAAGCTCTTACTATGTACCAGGCATTGTGCTAATCTTTGTACATATATCTTATTTAATCTTCACATCACACCTTAGGAGAGAGGCTATCATTTTCCATAGTTATATAACTAGGTATTGGAGCCATAATACGAACCCATGTGGGCCAACCTGAGACCTGAACTCTAACTCTTAATTGTGCCTAATTGATAGAGTTGTTCTGAATCTCAAATAATGTAACTTAGGTAAATGGTTTACTCTGCATGATACATGGATGTTGGCTCCTGTTTCTATTGTGAATAATCCAGGACGTGATGAGGAACTGAAGTTTTTAAAGCAGGTGTGTGTGTAAAAGGATCATAGTTTGGAGAAAAAGAGGTTATAGTCACCTATTGGTTCAGCAAATGCTTGTGTTTTACCTACTTTGGATCCAGTCCAGGGACTGTGTTAGTTGCCAGGGCAAGAGGGTGAATGAAAATATTATTTCTCACTTAAAGAATCTGCTCCTCACTTTTGCTAAGTATGAAAGACAAAGAAATCAGTCATTATAGAATAGTACAATGTTCTCTGATACCATGATGTAGGCATACTCACTGTGTCCCCCGAACATAGAGAGGGAAGAGAGTATTTAAATCAGACTTAGTGATAAGGGAGATGAATTCAGAGCTACTATGCAACTAAAAGTAGTGGTAAGAAAGAAGAAAATAGATTTGAGAAATATTTTGGAAATAGAATGGGCAGGAATTAGAGCCTACTTATGGTGTGAAGGCCCTTATTTAGATCTTATTTAACCAAAGGTGGTCTGAGGGAGTTGAAGACTAAGGAATACCAGAGGAGGAACATCTTTGGAGTCAAAGTGATGGATTCAATATTGGATATATTGAATTTGAGGTGTCTGTGATAAGATATAAATATCTTAAAAAATAGAACTGGCATTTAAAGGAGAGGTAGGTGCTAAATGTATAAATTAGGGTGTATTTATCATGTAGATAAGTAGTTGAAATCATGAGAAAAATGAGGTCAGGGAAGAGGATCAAAGCCAAATTTAGAAGAATTCCTAAATTTAATTGGAGAAAACAAGAGAAATAAGCCAAGGAAATTAGAAGGTAGTCAAGGAAATAGGAAACAAACCAAAAGAAAAGTCAGGGAAGTTATGGGAGGAAAATGTATTAAAAGAGGGACTGTTCCATTGTGACAGATACTATAAAAGTATCTAAGGTTGTTAACAAATTAAAGGTTTGTGATCCTGTTTTCCAATTTACCTTATAAAATAGATATCTTCAAATGAATGCTGTGTATGTGCGCGCGCATATAAAAGCATCTTGGTTATCTTGTTGAAAAGATAAAATGTATTTTTCCTTCCTGAAGTATGGAACCTCAAGGTCTTTGTGATAATGGAAACTAAAAAATTGATTGGTAAACCGCTTCAACCAGCAAGACCTGTTCGTCATCTGACTTCTCCCCCTGGTGAGTAATCTAGGGTACACACCTTTAAGTATTCATTGTTTAGTGGCTAAGTAGTATTTGAAAGGCTAAATAATATACAAAAATTAATGATCTTGTTTGTTGGAAGAATTTAAAGACCAAAGAAAAAGACTTTTAATAGTCTATGTGTCCATAGTCTACCAGACTAACAAAGGTAGGAAGAATAGCTCTTGCCTGAGAACAACTTTGGGTATCTTTTTTTCATGCCTCGTTTTCATGGTTAACTGGCTTCTGCTTAGAATGATACTCTCGTATCTCACGACATGAGCCAAAGGCAGGTGCTAAACCACTGAGCCACTCAGGTGTCCCCAGAATGGCTTGTGTGTGTGTGTGTGTGTGTGTTTATCTCCTAAATATTAATAAATATCTAAGTGCGTATTTCTTACCATCTTATTAAAATACTCTAGTCCACGAGTTCAGCTGAATAACTGGCTACTTTGGGTGCAAACATGAAGCAGGAAAGATAGAAATGGTACCAGTTCCTCAATCTTCAATTTGTTCTCCCATCCTTGGTTCTTACAAGGAAGGTTCTCTGCTTGGGTCATGTTTCCTCTGAAGATGGCTGTGACTTAGGACAGACAAATGAAATGGAGGGATCTTCTGGACCATAGCTTTAGCAGCATTGATGCCATCTCCTGCTGTGCTGAAGGAGCGGTTGTTTTCGGGTCAAGTCTCAGATTTTCTCCTAAAGGGAAGGGTGTAAAGCTATTGGCAGCAGCTCCTTTCAGTGACCAGCCTTTTTACAACACCCCTTGCTCCCTCATCTGTACAGATTCAGTTTCTTATTAATTGTTTCCTTCCAAGTGTGGTATAGGGGTAAAAGGTGGTAGGCCCATCTCTTATTTAATTATATACTCTTAAGATCCAGAGAGAATAGTTGTATTAGGAAGAGAAGTTTAGTAAATCAGAAATTAACTTTTGCCTTTTTCAATATACTTCTGTACTCCCTGGCTAGCTCACATCCCCAGAGAATCCTACTTTTTCTTCAAGACCCAGATAGAATTATTTCCTTTTTTTTTTTTTTTTTAAGATTTATTTGAGCGAGGGAGAGAGAGAGAGAAACCAAGCATGAGCAGGGCTTGAGTAGGTGAGTAGGGGGAGAGGCAGAAGGAGAGAATCTCCAGCAGACTCCACACTGATTGTGTGTACCCTAAGATCATGACCTGAGCTGAAACCAAGAGTTGGACACTGAACCAACTGAGCCACCCAGGCGCCCCAGAATTATTTCCCTTTGCAAAGCCTTCCTCTGTATCACAAAGCCCAGTCTGTTCTCCCCTGGGATCTTCTCTGTACCTCTCATATAATGTATTTGTTTTTATTATAGTGATTGTTTGTGAGTTTGTCATTTAAAATAGGCCATGAACTCTTTTCACACTTATATACCCATCCCCTAACACAGTGGCTGACATTTCATGGTGTTTAATAAATATTTGTTAAGTAAATGGGCTATCAGAAAACAGTTAAAAAAAACAATACCTAGAATATCCTGGATACTTAAGGGTTTTGGGTGGTGGTGTATCATTTATTGAAGTTATGGGTATTTAAAGTAGTTTTCTTTCTTTCCATCCTAACAGGAGCAGTGTTCCCTTTCAACTTTCAAAATGAATATTCATGCAACACTCAATGCTTACAAAGTGGAGTTAGCAGAGTAAGTCCTAGAAATTATAATAAAATGAAGCATTGCAGACTGGAAGGTAACATTTGTTAGATGGGTATTTTGTGCCAGGTACTATGCTAGGTACTTTATATACTTTTTAAAAAGTTATGATATATTTCAAGAACATATTAAATAAAAGTATACATGTTGCCCAGCATTCTCAAATCCAAACATTTTTCTATGTTTGTTTTAGAAAATGTTAAAGAGAGGGGCTCCTGGGTGGCTCAGTTGCTTAAGCATCCAACTCTTGATATTGGCACAGGTCACCATCTCAGGGGTGTGAGATAAAATTCTCTCTCTTCCTTTCCCTCTGCCTCTACCCTGCTAAAAAATGTTAAAGAAGAAACGTAACAGATACATTTCAAAACCCCTACTTCTCGCTCCACTATCCCATTTTCTTCTCACCCTCATCTTCTCCCTTTGTGGGTATATGAGAATAGTGCTCTTTGCGATGGGATCCTGCCATCTGCAAGTGTTGTGTTAAATGCATGCGGTAGGGCTTGCTGCAGAGATGGGCCCAGAGAGAGAGTGTCTGGCCTCGGGGACACACACCCCCTGCCAACGCTCTGGTAGGAAGATGAGCCACTTCTCAGCCCTGTGACCTTACATGAGTGATTTCTTTCACTTCTCAGAGCCTCAGTTTTCTCGCCTGAAAATGGGGCTAACACTGTCTTTCTCACAGGTCAGTGTGAGGTGGAGGCAGCAGTGAGCTCATGCTCCCAAAGTTTTAGCACGTGTCTGGCATGTAGTAAGTGTTCCCTTCACACACGCAGCAGTTCTCCTCACTGTACCTATGGACCGTGCCTCCTCCCCCATCTCACTTTCTTCTCACCGTCCTCCGTACCTTCCTCCAAATTATTTTCAATTTGTTATTGTTTCCGTGAATGTATTAATACTTTTGCTACAACAAATAGAATTTTTTTTACCTGTCTTACAGTTTTATATAAATAGTATTATACCCACTTGTGTTTATGCCATTCTTTTTGCATAGGTTTATATTTTAAAATTTCTAATATAATTTTTGACTATGTAAAATAATCAAAGTTTAAAATTGAAAACATACAAAAGGGCATTTAGTGAAAAATTTCCCTGTAGTCTCTATACCCTAGTCACCAATTTCCTCTGATCAGAAGTAACCATTGTATCAGTATCTCACCAGATACTTCCAGCAAAAGATTATGCATGTACTTTTTATAGCATAAGTTATTCATAATAAATAGAATGTGAGGCAACTATTAAAATGAATAAAGCTGTTCTATATGTGCAAATACAAAAAAATCTCTTTATTAATATGCTATATTTTTTATTCCATTTCTTGGTGGGCTTGGCACTTGTTTGTATTTTATAATAAAATCTCTAGTGAACATCCATTCATATGTTATATTTTATACTATTTGAGAGGTTCTCTGCTTTATAAAACTGAAGTAGAAGTACTGTTAACAGGTAATCTTATCTTCACTGTTCTTATTTACTGCTAAGTTACTCTCCAAAGTGATTTGCATGAGCAATGTAGGAGAGGTCTGATTTTTCTCCATCCTTACTTTGTATCATCAGACTTCAATATTTTGTCTTGTTTAATGGATAAGAAATCTTTTTTTTTTTTAAAGATTTTTACGTATTTGAGAGAGTGTGCACATGAGTTGGGGGAGGGGCAGAGGACCACGGGGCTTGATCCCAGGACCCTGAGATCATGACCTGAGCCGAAGGTAGACGCTGAACTGACTGAACCACCTAGGTGCCCCTGAGAAGTTATATATTTTTGTTGGTTTTAATTTTTAATTTTCTATTATTTGTGATGTGAAGCATCTTTTCATATGCTTAATTTTCCATTTGGATTTTCCCTTTTTCTGAATTGCCAAATCATATCATTTGCCCATTTTTCTTAGGTTGTGTTTTTATTTTTGGTTTATATACCTTTAAGCTATATTTTGGATTTTAATTCTCTTTTTTGTATGCAGAACAAATTATTTCCTGGGAATATAGTCTATGAGAAAATTGTTTCTTTTTATGATGTTTTTGTTCAGAAGTTTTAAATCTTAATATAGTCATATTAAGATTTCTTCATGATTTCACTTTTTGTGTCATTGTTTGTGAGGTCTTCCCATCCTTGATATCAAAAGGTATTTTCCTACATACATGTTCAGGTATAGTCTACCTGAAATTGATTTTTTTGTATGATACGAGATAGAAATCTAATTGTTTTCATGTATGACCAGTCATCAAGTATAATTCATTGAATAATCTATTATTTCCATATAGATTTATGACATCTTTATTATATAATAAGTTTTCATATGTATAGGGTCTTTTTCTGGTCTCTTTATCCTGCTCCATTGACCTATTTGCATCTCTCTATGTCAGTATGGTGGTATCTTAATTACTCTTTATATTAATTTTTTATAAGTCTCTAATGTTTTGTTTTATTCTAGCAGCTAGCATATCCCTAACTAATATAATAGTAATGTTTATAACTCTTTTTGGAAACATCAACCTTGTTCAAAAAACTTTATGTGTAAAAAAAGGAGTATATTTAATATTGCAAATTTTATAGAAGAAAACCAAATCATTTAATTAAATTTACTTCTAAACTTAAAATTTTGTCTGCTGCTTCAGTTATAATGGAAAAACTATTAGAACCTATGTCAGAAATGCCACATATATGATAGATACTTTTTGCTGTGTATTTTTTAAAACAACTTCATTAAGGTATAATTTACAGAGAAATGAACCCATTTGTTCAATGAGTTTGACAAATATATACCCTATATAACTAACCCCACAATGAAGATACATTTTTATCTTTTCTCTAAGTGCCCTTATGTCCCTTTGTAGTCATTCATCATCCCCGTTTCCACTAATCCCTAATGCTCCTTCCTCCAGGCATCCACTGATCTGCTTTCTTTAATTGTAAATTAGTTTTGACAATTTTAGAATGTCATGTAAATGAAATCATACATATATATCATTTGGTGTTGGATTTTTTTTTTTTTTGCTCAGCATAATGTTTTGAGATTCTTTTGTGTTATGTATATATCAGTAGTTGGGTTCTTCTTTTTCTTTTTTTAGTTGGTTTCTTTTTAATGTGAACTAGTATTCTGCTCTATGACTATAGGACAGTTTGCTTATTCATCAGGTGGTAAACATTGACTTTTATCTAGGTTTTGGATATTATGAATAATGTTGCTCTGGACGATTGTGTTCAAATTTGTGTGTGGACATACACACAAATACACAGGAATGGAATTTATGGGTTTTATGAGAATTTTGTTTAGCTTTATAAGAAACTGTCAAAATGTTTTCCATCGTGATTGTACTATCTTATAGTCCCACCAGTAGTATGTGCCAGTTCCAGTTGCTTCATAGCCTACCAATTTTAGCCATTGTAGTATGTGTTAGTATCTAATTGTATCTTAAATTTGCACTTTCACAATGATTAATGAGATTGAGCATCTTATGAGCTTCTGTTCCATTTGTATTTTTCTTTTTTCTTTGGTGAAGTGTCTGTTCAAATATTTTGCATATTTTTGTTATTTGGGTTGTTTGCCTTATTTGGGTTTTTGATTTTGGGTTGTTTGGGTTCACTGAATTGTGAGAGTATTGAAAATCAGTATACATGTGTGAGTTTATTTCTAAACTTTATTATGCTTTATTGATTTATATGTCTTTTATGCCAACTATTGAGATATAATTGACATGTAACTAAGCTTAAGATATACAGTAAGATGTTTTGATACATTTATATGTTGCAAAATGCTTACCACAATGAATTTAGTTAAAATATTCTTCATTTCACATAATTACTATTTGTTGTTGTTATGGTGAGAACATTTAGGTTTATTCTCTTAGAGGGATGCATGGGGGGCTTAGTGGTTGAGCATCTGCCTTCAACCCAGCGTGTGATCCTGTGGTCCTGGGATCAAGGCCCACATCGGTCTCCCTGCAGGGAGCCTGCTTCTTCCTCTGCCTGTCTCACTGCCTCTCTCTCTCTCTCTCTCTCTTTCTATGTCTCTCATGAATAAATAAAATCTTAAAAAAATTTATTCTCTTAACTTTCAGTTATATAATACAGTATTGTTAACGATAGTCACCAACTGTACATAGGTCTTCTGAATGTCCATCTTTTTGTCAAGACCACATTTTACAGACTGCTGTAGGTTTATGATAAGTCTTGATATAAGATAGTGAAGTTCACTACAGTCTTTTTCAAATTTGTCTCAACTGTTTAGCTGTTTGCATTTCCATATAAGTTTTAAATGAGCTTGCCAATTTCTGCAAAAAAAGTCTACTACAATTTTGATTGTGTGTAAGGATTAATTTGAGAAGAATTAACATCTTAACAATATTGAGTCTTCTGATTCATGAGCACATATTTCCTTTTTTTGTATTTTCTAGAATGGGGTCTTGAAGATCTTTTGTCAAATTTATGATAAGCATTTCATATTTTTTGGTACTATTATAAGTGGTATTTTTTTGTAAATTTCAAATGCTACATGCTGGTTGGTAGGCAGAAATAGTATTGGTTTTTGTATATTGATCTCATTAAATTCACTTATTCGATCTGATAGGTTTTTTTGTAGACTTTACCTCCCATTCATGTTCCATAACACGTTCTATTATGGGAATAACTTTACTGTAGCTTGTACTATAAATACATAATGCATTGCTGTTATTTTTGATTTCCTGTGTTATCTTTTAAAATAACTTAAGTAAAAGAATGAGTTTTACTTCACCTTCATTTATTCCATTTCCAGTGCTCTTCATTTCTTTGTATAAATCCATGTTTCTCTCTGGTATTACCTTCCCTATGTTTGAATAACTTCTTTTAACCTCTGTTTTTTATTTTTACCTCATAAAAAATTCTTTAAAACTTTGACTTGAAAAATATCTTCTTCTTATCTTTCAGGGCTCTGTGGGTTGACTGGTGTCAGGGACCTTTTTCTAAGTTCAGTAATGTGCCTACAGTCAGGTAGCATCTAGGATCGGAGTCATTT